GGAAGAGACGGAGTTGGACGAGGCCTATTTGAACCAGCTGGAGGGCTACGCCTTTGCCGTGACACTGCCTACGCCATCAACGGAGGCGGAATGGAGATCCATTGTCAAGGACCCCGGCAAGTTCGTGGCGAAGAAGCTTGCAAAGGGCGTTGAAGTGTCTTGGCAGAAACTTAATGAAGAACAGCGACGGGCCATGAAGGAGGCGAAGGGCATCGAGATTCAAGAATGGATCAGCTCCAAAGTTTGCCGTGCTGCACTTGGTCCAATCCCTCAGGGCCGCCTCATGCGAATGAGGTGGGTTTTGGTTCTGAAGGGCACCAACGACCCGAACGTGGTCAAGGCCAAGGCGCGCCTGGTAGTCATTGGGTTCACTGACCCTGACCTTGGTTTGGAGGTGGTGAGAAGCCCAACTTTGACTCGTCGTGGGCGGCAATGTCTCTTGCAGATGGCCATTCATCGCAACTGGAGCACTTTGAAGTCTGATGCCAAAGCAGCTTTTCTGCAGACTGGTGATCCCAGCTTCATCGCCAGATTTTTGGCATGCCAGTTGTGGAGCTCCAGGAGGCTATGCAGCTCAAGCCCAACCAAGCCGTGCAGTTTCTCAAGGCAGCATACGGGCTCACCATTGCTCCCAGAGAGTTCTACCATCATGTGGACTCCATCCTGACCTGGCTTCAACTTCATCGACTACACGTCGACCCGAGCATCTGGATCCTTAAGACCCAGGACGATGCTGGCCGAGTTCAGGTGCATGGTGCAGTGGGCGCTCATGTGGATGATTTTCTTCTGATGGGCGATGAGGACAGCAGAGTCTGGCGCACCTTCCTGGAGGACTTCCACAAGTCGCTCGGAAGCGCCGCCAATGAACCACTGCGGGGTTTGGATGACCCAGGATGAGCACAAAGCATGGCACCTCAGCCAGGCCGAGTTCTGTGAAGGCCTAAGTCAAGTGGTGGAAGATGGAGAAGGAAAAGACTTGACGAAGGGAGAACTCCATCAGTGCCGTGCAGTGCTTGGCGCAGCTCAATGGCGATGCTACCAGACAGGTCCTCAGCACTGCTCAAAGTTGAGCCACCTTCAGAGCTTGCTGCCTCGCGGAGATCGAAGCACTCTCAAGGACATCAACAAGTTTGTCCGCGAGCTCTACAACCAGAAGGATGAGAAGATCTCGGTGTATGACCTCAAGGCCCAGGCTGATGAGGACATTGTTGCAGTGGGCTGGAGTGATGCAGCTCTAGCAAACCGAGTGGATCTGTCATCCACCGGAGGCTACATCATCGGCTTTGTCCACAAGAGCATGCTCCGCGGCATCCAAGGCCAGGTCAGTCTGGTGAGTTGGAGCGCTCACAAGCTCCGGCGTGTCTGCAGGAGCAGCCTAGCAGCTGAAGCACAGGCCCTGTCAGAGTGTGAAGCAGAGCTTTTTCTGGTCAGAGCTCTCTGGCAAGAACTTCGAGGTCAAGTTCTCGACATGGCCAACCCGTGGCTGACTTCGAAGATGACACCTGGTGTGCTTGTGGTGGACGCAAAAGCGCTCTATGACATGTTGCAGCAGCAGGACGTCCCGAACCTGTCTGCGAAAGAGAAGCATACAGCTTTGGAGGTGCTTGGCTTGTCCCAGCACCTGATGGAGCAAAACACCACCTTGAGGTGGGTGAACTCACATCAGCAATTGGCTGATGGAATGACGAAGATTTCAGCTGCTGATGGTGTGATGCAGTTCTTGAAGAAGAGGCAGCACTGGAATCTGCTCTACGACGAACCCTTCACGGCGGCCAAGAAGCTCCGGACCCGACCTGAGCAGCCTGAGAGCGGCGATCCAAAGGATCCAACTTGGCTTGACCTGATGAGGCAAACTTCGGGGCATGTGAAGAAGTTAGCTTTTGGAAGCGATTCAAGTTCACCTCCACAGGTCATGCCTCTTTCCGCTGCCGTGTAGGGATCCCTTTGGCCAAGAACTGGCACATGACCAGTGCACGGCCGTGGACGGCCGTGACGACCGCACGCACCCGCAGCCATAGGTGGAAAACCGCTTTGGGCCGAGGGCAAATCGAGAAGTGTACCAAGTTGTTCGCTTTGGCTTTGCTGTGCCAGTGGCTACCTCACATTCCTTGAAGAAGCGCTCGCACCATTCATTTGGCTCCTAGATTTTTAGGGAAACTTAAGGTACCCTCTTTTCAGTTGGACCATGGTGTCATCTCCTGTACATCGCCCAAGCAAGTCATAATATGTAAATACATGTGCAGCTAGTTCGGGCTTCCAACCAACATGTCCGGCGGAGATATGCTGCAAAGCAGACATGAATTTGTGCAACAGCACGCGCACTGCAACCACATGATGAACAACACCTTTGGGGAACCCAGGCAAAGAAAGGTGTTCTCTCGCCACAATCAACTTTCCAATGCTTCCTTAGTGCCAGTTACATCAATCCACTCAAACAGCCTCTCCAACTTCAATCGCTTGGTCTGCAGTCGCGCAAACACCAAGATAGAATGCTCAAACCTTAAGAGCGGAGTCCACAAGCGCGATGCTGACACAGGAGGGCTAAGAGTGAACGCAGCGCACAACCTGTCTGACAGCAAGTCACAGAAAAGCAATGACACGATTGTGTGGCATTCTGCATGTTTTTTGTTACATGCTGACCTTTGGCCAGCCTTTGCGGCTGCACCTGCCGTAGGCGAATGCGCATCATTGGCTTTGGCATCAGCCGTCAGCTCCTCGTGCATTTCAAGTCCTTCCGGATATCTGAGGGGAAGACTGTTCAGCTTGAATTAAAGTATACACGGAAAAAGAGATGAACGCAAGGTGAGGGCCCAAGTTCAAGGGGCCCTCACCCTTTCTTTTTTCATCTCTTTTCTTGTATATACTGGTAGTTTAATTCTAACTGTTTCGTCCCAGGCCATGCACCATGTACCGCAAGATCATTGTCCTCGCCCAATTTGATATTTCTGGTGTTTTTTTTCCAAGGATTCTGTGCTTTATCAAGGATCAATTATTATGTTTTTTGGCCAAGGTCGAAGAAGGCTCTTCCGCTGATTTGAAGTGGAATCCCGGAAATATATATTATATACCAGTGCAAAGGGGATCAAACAAGCACAAAAGAAAGGCCAGTTGGGGTAGAAGTGTTTTGAAAGGCTTCAAGAAAGTCATCGTGGTTACAAGCCCGGACTTGTGCCTCGGCGGCCATCGGACTTGTGCATGGAGATCCAGTGCCAACATCTTGGAGTTGAGTTGTATTGAGTTCTTTTGTCATACGACGATTAGACAGACCACATTTGCTGTGACTTTTCTCTAGCTTGGCTTAAACGAAAATCGCTTGAGACATGCGCGTGAGCAGTTGAACACTGCAGGAGGCATGTTTGTGTCGAGTGGCTCAAATCCAATGCTGCCAGCCTTGGCATTGAGGTGGGCTTGAGAGCATTTGAGGGTGGGGTCAGAATCATGAGAGTTTCGGTATTGAACGTCCAATGTTTGATGAGTTCCATGGGAAGTTATGATGTCAAGCAGATCACGCTTGTGTCTCCAATGTGGGAAGGTGGTAATTCAATCTGGGAGCCTCATGGAGGCACGGTGTACGAGGGAGCAGTGGCCGAACTGGTTTCAGGGAATTCTTTTGGATTCGTTACACGTATATGCTTCCTGAGTGTCAGGACTTCTGCGCCCTTGCCAAAGCATCGAACTTGGCACTTGCCTTGGTCGCCTCGGGGGAGCTGGGATGCTTTCTGGTCGTTGGGTATTTAGTCTATTCTGTTGTTTAGCCAGGGTTCCACACTATGTCACTCATTTGAAGCTAAGAAGAGCACATTTCTTGCATGGTGCAAGCAAGCCTCCAAACTTGCAATTCCGAAGGTCTAGAATGGCCTTGTTGGGTATTGAGGACTTGCCAGCTGGAACATTGCTACCCTCACATCCACTGAGAACCTCAATTTATAGATTGCCATATTGAGGTGTTGTCTTTTTCAACGCTGGGCGACAATGCCGCTGTGCTAGAACCTCAGTGATCTTGGTTTGCCTTTGCACTTGGTTGCATATCGGTATATCTAAAGGCGGTGCTCAGGGGGCGATGCGACTTCCTCTTTGTGGAATGTGGCTTTGACCAGGTTCAAAGTAACTACGAAGCAGCTTTGCCGAGGCTGAACAAGCGAGTCAAGAAGATATTCTTTCGTGAGTTTGCCCAAACGCAACTTGGTCCAATTGTCGGAGCTTTTCACAGAATGGAGCAAAAAAGGGATGAGAAATCTCAACGTGAGACTCCAGTCCTGATGATTTTGCTCAGGCATTCATTGATGGATTGTGGGTCGGGGGCTCAACCCAACTTCAAAGCCAAAACACTAGGAAGTGATTCAGACTGAATGCAGTTCATTCTGCTCTCCAAAGTCATCAATGCCTGACAGTAGAAGCTGACATAGCAGGATGCGTTTCAAACACTTGACAGACAGGCTATGGCCAGGAACCACCTTATACCAGTACAAGATGCCAATCAGCGAAGGCCTGCCAGAGCAGTTGGTATGTTTCATGTTCACCCCCAGCCTCAGGAAAGCATCCACCATATGGCAACACTTATCGAGAGGCAAGGTCTACTGCCATACCAGTCTTTTGAGGAATGTCTAAGCCTAAGTGCTTGAGCAACTTGTATTCCACCAATGCTGTAGATCATCAAGTGGTTCACGACCTATGACGAGACGCAGATCACCAAGTCTGAGGGATGCAGGTGAGGTTGGAACAACCTTTGTCGTGCATGGCCATGACCCGCGATTCCGTCATGCACACCATGCACGCGTCACCTGATCGCCACCAACGCCTTGATGGTGACATCGTTGTGGTAGAAGATTTGCTCGGGAGACGACCACCCTGGAGTTGAAGATGAGCACAGCTTTTGGAAAAAGTGTTTGCTCACCTCCGCAAGGTTTCAGAGGCACCTTGTTTTGCCTTTCCACTTATCGAATCTTATCGATTGATTCACGGACTGCTTCCATTCGTTTTTTCATTCGTTTATGGCATTATGGCTCAAAGGCTCAAAGATGCTCAAAGGATTTTGCCAGCAAAGGGTCACCACGCTGTCAAGCAGCATACTTCCAATTCGCCATAGACAATCCTCGTAGTTGATTGATATGGAGGAGCAGGACGATGCCAGCAAGTATGCTGCGCTTTGGTTGGGAAACTTGACGCAATGCGGGCACACTTCTCCGATAAGCGTTTCTCTCACCCACTGCGTGCTTCATATTATGGCTTTTGATTGCGGTTGGGCGTTGGAAGAGCTGTCTGTTGCCAGGACTTTCATTTGAGCTCCTACTGACTTGGCTAGCCAGGGCTGTGGCTGTTGCTCTTTACATCAAGAACTGGTGGCTAAATGGGCTTTGCTCCCAGGGGTTTCGTGTGCCTGCTTGAGCGGAAACGGCTGGAGTCGATCGTCCCCGGAAGAACACCGGCCGGTCGTGGCCTGGTGGTTTGTTTTGACCTCGCGAGCTTTGGGCTGGCTGCGCGAGTTTGTTTCTCCCACTGCAGACATGGACGGAGCATGTTGGTGATTTGACATGTCCTAAACTTCTACCAGGGACGTCGCTCCCAACCACACGGTGTCAGCAGCCTTCTGATTCTGAAGATTCAGAACTTGAGAGAGGATGGAGGCGTCCTGGCCTGACACCCTTCGTAGAGGATGCTCATTCGGCACGAGGATGTCTATGCAGGAGCAGGGGACGAACTCGTGGGCCGTGGGTGACAAAGTGGTATGGGTCTGCCGCTCCCAACACTTGAAGTTTGAAGAAACACGGTGGCAATAATGCTGTCGAAGGGCGTGCAAATGCATTGATGACGCCTTGAGGGCACAGGTCTTGCTTCTCGAGGTCTTTGGCCAGAGTGTCAGCAAGCAGAACAAGAGGAAACCGACCCTTCTGGAAACCATTTCGTCTTCCCAACTGTGAACAGGACACAACAGGAATGGTTTCGCAAGCGCTGTGTTGTTCCCACTGTCTGGTTGCCCGTTCTTGATTCTGTCTGCAGGAACCATGTGGCATGGAAACCTATGCCCTATGGAAGAATTGCGGTCTGGCTCTAGCAGCAAGTTTGAGATTGCTCGCGTCTCTTTCCTGGTATGGTTGGCCACGTCGGAGCCGCTCTTCCTAGATGGCTGCGCGCTGACCTTGTTGGTGTGCTCCTGTCGCCTCAAGGTCGCGGACAGGCCGCTTGCAACCCTAACGGATTTGTTGCCCTTTCCGCAGAAAAGGGGTGCTGGTAAACTGGCCAAGCTAGTTCTGATCGCGCTGGCGACGCTGCATGTAGGAGTCAAAGTGGAGTCGAGGCTTCTGGAAGACAAGCGCCGGCAGTGGAACGCTCAGCACGGATCTGCCTATGAAGAGGGGCGTCCCTCGAGCAAAAGCAGAAAAGTTTACTGCGTATCCTGGACTAGTCATGGCTTTTCTTCTTCCCGTCAGTGGGCGTGTAGGGTGGGAGGTTGGCAGCGTATTTAGAGGTCGTAAGAAATGCAAAGGTCACAGGGTTCACGCGCGTCCTGTTTTTGTTGACTTCATGCAGGGACTTGCAACGCATGTTTGCAAGGCTGCCTCGAAGGGCTGACAAATCTGCTGGCTGCTTTCACACGTTACGGAATGAAAAAACCTGGCTTTCCAGCGTGTGCTGGAGTTAAGGGTCTGTGAGCAGCTGGAAGACACACCATGCAGAGAAAAGAAGTAATGAACTCAATCATTTTCTTACAACCCATTCATGCAAAGGTGTGGGGGTGCTTTTGATTTCCTCAGCAGTCAGCGACGGCTGATAGGGTCATACTGCAATGTTCTAAGCTGCCTGAATGCACTATGCGACACTTAGTCCTTGGTCACGCTTTTCATGTATGCCGCGCTTGCGCCGCAATTTTGCAGTGTCCTCCCAACCTTTTCAGGTCGGTCAGTGTCCACGGGTTTCAGTGACCATCCAGCTGATGCAAAAGTTTTGCGGTAAGCTTTGGTTGGACGTCAGAAAGCTTCATCATCAAATGGTGGGAGAAAACTAAATTGAGTGAGCCGGCAGTTTTGTTGCAAAAATACACTTACATATACATGTGCACATACACAATATTTATATACATGCGCTTAGTAGTAAAGGATACATATACATATACACATGCACATGGAACATTGCAGAGCCGAACATGCGCTCTTTCCTCTAAAGTGATACAGCCCTATCACGTCTGCCCTTTCCGATGGGAGCAGAGAAGGCAGGACGTGAAGTCCACACATGGCCATGATGTGTGTCAGCTGGAAACTTCGCAGCTGTGCCGGGCAACTTGGAAGGTTTCTTCGGCCAATTGGGAATGAGGCCTGGGAGAGGTTTCACGCATGTTGATCACCATTCGTTTTATGTTGACCCGAGGCGGCGAAACAATCATGCCAGACTGTTTTGCGCAGCAAATTCCCTTTTCCATTTTGGCATTTTTCATCCGGATCGTTGTGTTTTTCGTTGGCTCCGTTGGCTCGGTTGGTGTCGTTTCACCGCGTGATTTAATCGTGTAGGTTGCGCCATGAACCCCTTTGGCTGAGTTTCGTGGCGGCTGTGGGAGAGCCGGAGCCGAGCATGGAGACATGGCCTGGAGGATTTGAGGACTGGATGGATGTGATGGGATGGGATGGGATGCAGACCGAGGATGCCTGTTTGCTGTGTTCAATTCACGTCGGGTTGAAATTGGTTGCCAGTCGTTTTAAACGGGATATGTTTTTGGAGTTTGTAACGCATTTGACTTCGGCACCTGACACGGGAGGTCAGGCCTATGGGTTTGGAGGACATCGCTTCCGTTTTCCCATTTACAGGACCGCTTTGGCGTGACAGGATGCAGAAGTGGGAGCAATGACTCCTTCTTGACTGGTGACTCCTAGAAAGTGGCAGGAAGTGCTGAAACGTCAGACCACCTCTTGGAGGAGTTCATGCAAGAGATTCAGTCGTGGTCTTACGGTTGAATCTCTTGTGATTGAATATCTTTTCTGATCAGCTTTACCTTTCTCGCTCAAACTTTCTTGTATTTGAACCGTTCAATCTGTGAGGCCTTCCTTCAGGGGTAAGTTAATCTCCATCTTGGCATCACGCTTTCCTGAGTCTGCCCATCCATGCGCAGAGGACGATCTCTCAACTCTGCTGTGATCCACTTCAATAGCACGGACAGTGCAGGATGTGAAGCAGCACTGCGTCAACCATGAGAGCCCTTTGCACTGCTTGGGTTGGCGTCTTGGTTTTGAAAGGATCAAGCCTTTGTGTCAACACCGCAATCATTGTGCTCGTCTTTACTGCATGCTTGAAGCCTAGGTCTGCACGCGCAACATGTATCCCCCGGCTGTATGCAAGAAGTTCGCCACTCTGTGTGGATGCCCTGGTTGCAACTGCCTGGAAAGTTTCCTGCACTAGTCAGTACCTACAAGCTTTACAGCTGGGGGTTCTTTCCTGCAAAAGTCACCCATGCTTTGCTGTCAGTTTGTTTAGCTTCGGTTACAAAGGCCTTTCGGCTGCAGTGAAGAGATTCACAGACACTGCAGCGGACACCGGGTAGGCCGAAAGGGAGTGTTCAAAATTTTACTCCAGAGAAACATCACAATGTGTTGTTTTGAATTGAATTGTTTAGAAAAGCTGGTTTTGCAGTGCTTGGAAAGCCATTGCTCCTAAGAGTGTGTTTGGATTCGTCTTCAGGCGGCATGCTGCGCTGCCTGGAAGAGGTCGGAGTCCACTTGGGCCTGCGTTGCGTTGAAGCCACAGCTCTATGTGCCACGAAACACCGCTGTGCAAAAGATGCCATTTCCGCTTGGTGCACCCGTTCCTACCAACATAGCACCCATTCTGGGCCCAGAAATACAGTCGACAGCACTGATCAACCACAGTGACCATGCAGATTGCAGTAGTCAGAGTAGGCACATGGAACAGATTACTACATTTTGTTACATGCCCTTTTATTGAAATACTTTGCAACACATTCTGCAAACAGGCAAAGGAACATCGGAACAACCGTCCATGAAGGGCAGATGCAAAGCAACACAGACAGAGTGCAGATCAGCATTGTTTGGAATCCCTTGTGGGAGGACTTGATTTTGATATGCCACAGCATGTTGCAGGATTGAGCAGAAACAACTGCCACTACTCACATCAGCCGAACCTAGACCTACGCACCAGCATAGCAAGAATCAAATCATCGCAGAGGCCCAATCTGCAGGGTTTCGGGGCCACAAACATGTTACCGCCCTTGAACATCAAGTTCAAAACCTGCCCTGCAAAATAGCAAACTGCGATGGGTGCATAGAGTAGATAGGGTCGGACACCAAAATGCATCCGGACCCAGGCAAAGGGGAGGTTTCCGGTGGCTGGATAAGTGCAGCAACCTACTTACTATACGATAAACCGAAGCTACTAAACAGTGACATTTTAAGTCAATCGTGTTGAAAGTTCAACTATATATAATCTAATCTAGAATGCAGGTATGTGGCAAGGCATTCCTGGGTCTTTGCGAAGTGCACCCTCGTGCTCTGCATGTTGACACAAACATACTGTACAGATACAATGTATATTCCAACAGTTTGAAGACTGTATGTGTAGTCGCGCGCATGTTACAACACTGTTGGTTTGGGGTGAGGTTGAGGTGTGGGCGGGGGGAAGGGCCAGGGGCAATAGCTGTTTTTGCTGCACCCACTGGCATTTGACACTTTTTGTTTAGCGGAAGTTTTGCAGGCTCAAGTCCATGTCATGCGTGACTTGTAATTTTTTTTGCTTTTGTTTACTTGGTGTGTCTTTTGCCTTTGCGCTTCTCATGTTAAGCGGTCCTTTTGTTTTCCGCCTACCTTGTTGATTGTATTTTTTCGTTGGTTGTTGATATCTTGTACCCTTAGTCGATTTGTCGACTTGTGCAAAAGAGCCTACATCCTCTTCAACCCTTCACGTTTGTTTAGATGTTGATCGTTGCTTGTTAGACTTTGACTTTATTGAGCATTTTACCGAATTGTTAGATTGTTGCGGGAAGTCGGATCGGAAATAGTTTGTTGATAGTGGCCACATACCTGAGTCCATCGTTGCTTCTTTGGTTTTTTTGAGTCGTCTCCTTCGGCTTTGCGACCTAGCTGTGTCGCATACTCGTGTCCTGATGGATAGCTGGACTTCGCGACCCGCACGGACACCGTCACCGAAGCGACGGCGGTGCCTTGTTGGAGACACTATACGATTCAATAGTTTTCAGCGCCAATGTCACAATGTGTGAACTTTGTTTGAAGAACTGAACAAGAGATCTGCATTGAGAAAACAACAGTCTTGCGGCTTGCGGCTTCAAACTGAAGAACAGAAGCGGCAACGGAGTTTACCTTTCGCTGCAAATTGTTTGCATTTAAGCCGAACAAAGAAGCAGTTTGTCCTGTAAAACACAGGACATCCCGCACCTCCATTGAATCCCGTTGGAAGGCCTAGTTTCAATACAACATCCATAACAAAACCATTTATATAGAAACTCAGGAAAAGTTCAACTTGTGTGAATGAGCACTTGATGCCTTTGGCCGCAATCGCACGTTCAATTTGTAGCATGCTGGGATGTATATATGTATATAATATAGTTATATTATATATATACATGTCCATGTCTACACATAGGTCAGAACACAAGGTTGTAATCCTACCAGCAGGCCGTGCAATATCAGACTTGGAACAAGTTTTAGCAGTTTGTGTCAGTGTTGCAAAGATGCAAAGCAAACCCAAAAGAACAGGACGCCAATGCAAGGCAAATTTGGAAGCATATAGTGCTGGGTAATGTGGGAGGCATCTCCAGATAGAACGTTGAGAAAGGGACAGCAGACATAGCAGGTTTGGTTCTTTGACCGCCTCAACAGCTGGGATGTGTAAGTTATGATTCATATGATGCATTTCATGAGGTCTATGAATAATTTGTTTCGTTCTCTGACACAATTGCACTTGCCTAGCACATGGACATTTTGATGTGTGAGCTGATGCAAAGTTGACGTTCCACATGGCTCGACTCGATGCTAGCTCGCTGGATGTTTTCCGAGGCTGATGCGGTTATTGCGGCCCGACAAGCCTTGGCCAGCATTCAAGGATCAGAGAAGCGGGCAGGAGGCTAAGCCAAAGAGTGCTAGCTATGAGCATGGGTGGTCACTTCAGTAGGCAAGTGCCATGAATCTTTGCCTCACAGCGGTTCAGGCAAGTTCACTGCCAAGCTTGGCTAAGCCTGACGAATCAGATCTCGTACGTTCACGCGTTTTCGAAGGACTTGGCCCAAGCTGGGCCTCTTTTCAAATCAACATGTGCAGTTGGGCCGTTTGGACGAAGACATATCGTAACAAGCAGCAATGGCCCGACTTTCGCTGATCCAGAACAAGATACTGAAGGGAAACTGGTTTGGCACCAAACCCATTGAAGACTCACACTTTACACAAATCAAAAAGTACATTTGACCACTCACTAAAGGTCTAACAATTCCCCATGCAGTGCTCACCGTTGCTGAAGCGATGTGCCTTGTCGCTCTCGAGTCCTCACAGTGTTTCTTCAAGATCACAGGCGGAGTGTGACAGAAGCGCCCGCTTCATAGCGCTCTTGGTAAGCCCGGGCGTGGTAGGAACAGGGCTCCTACGGCGGAGAATGTTTCGGTCTAAAGCACGAAGATATGGCCTGGCAAAGCCAATGCCATCTATGGTGCGAGCCCTGGCATTCTCCGCTGCCTTCTCCTTGGTCGTTTGGCTTTCGGGGATGAACCCGGTGATCTCGTCTGATCAGATCGAACTTAATCTTGAACCAGTTCATCCGCCCAGCGAGACTCTTGATCTTGAAACGAAGCCTGAGAAGCAGTGGAGCCCCAAAGCAATGGTCGCGCCAGTCTTGGACAAGGTTGCAGCTATCAAAGTAGACAGTGACACCGAAGACGAGTATTGGGTTTTTGATCAACTTCCCTTCAAGAACTTCAAACTGCGGATTCTAAGAAAGGAGACCAGCATGCTGGAGGTCCTTATCAGCGGATTTCTTGCAGGCTTTGTGGTGGAACTCACCAATGCTTTGCTCCTCCACCCAATCGACACCTTCAAGACCCGCTTGCAGCGGGGCTCTGGTGTCGTCACCCCAGATCCCAGTTTGCTGTATCAGCGCCTCTTTGATGGACTTGGACCCGTTTTAGCCACTGTGCCGGCACTCTCCGTTTTTTGGGCAGTGAAGGAGATCAGCTTTGGCAAATATGTTGAAAGACACTTGCAAACATGAGGTTTTGAATCATTTGAGGGTGTCCAGTCCAACATTCCAAATGTTCCAGGACATTGTCCGGAAGAGCCTAATCTTGCTGGTCCGCGCAAAGCTCCCGGCGCCAGTGGCAGATGTGGTCTCCTCCACCTTTGCCTCGGCCTGTGGTGAGGCCGTGTTTCTGGCCGTGAAGACTCCTGGGCAAGTACTGAAGATCGAACTGCAAGCCGTGCCCTTTCAGCAGTTGAGTTGTCAGTCGTGAAAACGAGCCACCAAACATTTGCTGAAGAGATGCTATATAGTTAGTTGCAGGAGTCACAACAAGACTAGTTATATCGATTGGATGGGCGATTTCCTGACCTGCTGCAAACATCTCCTTTCTAAGCTGGTCAACCAAGGCTGTGCTGGAGGAGGATGCAGTGCGCCAGAGATTCTCGGATGAGGACACCTCCTACTCGAGCCGCTGCTCTGAGTTGGATCCCTACGCGCTCTGGGAGGACATGCCAAGTTATCCGAAAGCCAGGGGGAACTTTTTATCATCAAAGGTTTTATCTAAAAGAGGTTCTGTGGCGCTTTGCACCCCAGCAGATCAAACTGCAGGCATCCGCTACCTTCGAAACCAAACGAACGATCGAATGCCTCCCCAAGCGATGCAGCCTTCAGGAGAGCCTCCGCAGCTTCCCCATCCTGTGCACAGTGGATGTGCCTCAAGTGGCGATGCGCACCGCGGTGTTCGTGGCTTTGCATGACTCTGCGTTCGTCCCTGGTGGCCCCTGGTCAGACCCTTGGCAAAACTGAAACACAGCGATGGCCTCCCTAAGAGCGGATGGGTGCGTAATAGATGCCGGGGAAAGGGAACAAACAATGACGATCCGTGAAACCCTGCCTCACTTCAAAAGTGTGATCCAGTTGTGCCTATGGAAGCGGCGAGACTTTGACCGCAAGGGAGGGTTGTTCTGTTTGTGCCAATGCCGCCCTCATAGCGTGGCAACAACGGTCATAGTTATAGAGAAATATAGTTTGTTCTGACTTTGACCTTGTAGGCTGGCTGCTCATTTGGGAGCGCTGGTGTCGTCATTCATAGCATGCGTCAGTGTGTTTAGAGTTACTGTATGTAGAGCGTATTTTGTCAAAAAAACAGTCAGGACTGTTTGCGTTTTGCTGTAGCGAAAGCGTGATGTTAAATCATGATGTTGTAATGACATTGGGGTCGCCAGACGTGCGCTATTTGAATCAGACACTCAA